GCTCTGCCCTAGGGACCCCAAAGGATGCTGGGGATGGCCGCAGCCTGGCACTGAACTCATTCATACCAGGGCTTTTATGAAAGCCCGGGTAGGAAGGGGACAGATGACTAAGGACAGACCCGGTACGAGCCCAGGGTCCTCCCTCCTCCAGGACAAACAGTAACTTTTCCATCACATTCCTCAGTGCCTTTGGGCTAAGCAAAGGAGGTGAAAATCACCCGCAGCATCCAAGCGCCCGACCACGGCACCTTCAGGCCCAGATCTCCACACTGCTGCGATGCTTTCTCAAGGGCGCCATCAATTCACAGGCAATATCATACTGTCTTCTACTACCACAGCTGAGCAGGCAGCCCCTGCCGTCGCTTCCCTCTCTGATCCCTCTGGGCCTTTCTCATGCTGCGTGTGAAACTTTTATGCAGAAGGGAAGTTTTAGCATCTACTTAACACGGGAGAACCAAGTATCTCACCGTCTGCAGTCTTTAGGAGAAGGTCCAAAGGGAGCCACAGTTATCAGGAGATGGAAGTCTGGATTTCAGCTTTGGCTTTTCCATGGGGTTTGTGTTGCTCTGGCCCTGCCTAGAAATATGCTCATTTTTTTCCATGCATAGGTATAACCTTACAGCACTGTGCATTAAGGGAACAGAAATCACTACCAAGAATGGATAAAAAAGAGGTGATGCCATGTGGAAGAGCATGCAGAAAGGTCTTTAACATGCTCTAACAACCTGAAGAGAAAGCTCACACCTGCCTGGGGGGCTCTCCAATGCAATAAATGTACTGCATCCCTCTGGACTGTTTCAGAGTGATATTAAGAAAAGAGAGATGGAGTATGTACACTGCATGCCTGAAATGAGCCTGCAGTTACTAAATGCCAGAGCAGCATTTCAAAGGCACTGCCCTGTGAAGGGTGAATATCAGTGCTGCTCCCGCCCTCCTTTCCTCTGCTCCTCACTCCCACACATGTGTGCAGATGGGTTGAGATGCAGGCAGGCAGACTGACATACCTGCGAGAGGCTTTATTTGAAGGGCTTCTCAAGCACAAGTCCTGATTATTATACAGCTGGCTGCCCCAATCACTCAGGAAGAAAAAGCACTCCAATGATACATGGAAAAGTTATCTCAAAAATAACAAGGCATTAAAACACTTGAGATCAGTTGCATTAAGGTCAGCAGGAGCATTTCTATTCCCCAGCCTGATTGCCCCCGTGCCCAGGCCAGGGAACCTCGTATCACCCTGTTTCTCCTGTTTTGATCCCCATTAGTCCAGCAAGAGAAACTTGTTTCCTTGGATCTGCACCTGGAAGGAGGCTCAGAGAGATGGCCTCGCCTCCCCCTCCGCAGCACCCGTCTTTGCATGGGATGTTGATGGCACCATCTCTGAGGAGAGGGTGGATGGGCAATTCTGACAGCCAGGACAGGCACCCAGAGCTGCTCTCTCACAGGTAAAGGACCTGGATGGAGGCATAAATGCCCCTTGCAAGGTGTTCCAGAAGCTACAAGATGCTGTTTAGCTCGTGAGACAACTGTGTGCAGAAAGCCCAGCAGAGACATGAGCATCTCCCTAATTTCTGCACAAACCTGCAGTGCCCCTTGGCCATGCCACTGCCGCCTCAGACCATTTTTGAGGAGCCAGGCTGCATTGCACCGGCAAGCCACCATGGCACAAAGCCAGGGATGGACCAGCTTAAACCTCCACTTTCAAGGTTTCACTGCATCCCTGCCTGCAAGCAGCTATGCCCAGGTGCTCTTGCATTTCCCACTGAAACGGACAGAGTTTACAAGTTTGTTTTCAAGCCAAGGCTAACCCTCAGAAAACACAGAGCAAGCCCCACCAGGCTGCCTGGGTTTGCTGCCCAGCACCAGCACACAGAAAGCAGCCATGCTCTCTGCCCACCGATGCACTGGTACCCCTCGCTAGCTCACAGCACGGCCCATGACAGCAGCTAGCATCCTGCTATACATACAGCGGTGCAGTGATTTGCCTGCTCCTTCCCCCATACGTAACAAATCCCCCCAGCACTGCGGTCCTGGGGGAGAGGCAGAAAGAAATGTGGTGATTTAGAAGACAAGACTCCAACAGCAGTGCCCACCAAGCAACCCCCGTTATCTGCATTCCCCAATCCCCAAATGCGGCACCACACCACATTTTACGAGCTCCCTTATGCCATTTGCTGTAACATGCCCTAACAGAGACAGTACTAACATGAGCAAGACCAGCAGCATCCAAGGGGCCCAGCTGAAGGACAGGGAGGAGGGCTCCCATGGCAGCAGTGCAGTGCTTGTATGGCGACGGACTACAAATCACTTGGTTTTATACGGGAAGCTCTTTAGCACAAGGATGGAGGGCTGTATTCGCATTGCTGCACCATCCCTGGACCACGCAGGAAACTCCCTGGACCATGCAGCTCCTGGTCCTCTCATCTGACAAGTAGAGAACAGCAGTGGCAGGGGAGGAGGAGGTGCAAAAGCTGCTATGGGGAGCCCAGCCCTGGCTCCCAGCTCCCTGAGGAGCTGCCAGCCGGAGCCGCGATTGATGCTGCAGTGGTGCGGCCCTTCTCTCAGCAGGCAGCTGCCTCACGCCCAGCCCATGTGCGGAAACCTCTTTGTCATGGCAGCTAATGAGCAGATTGTATTTCACAGCGCCATGGTCCTGCGCAGGTACAGCCAGCGGCTTTCATCTCCCTGATAGCTCCCACGGGAAAAGAGCTGCCCCATGGAGCAGGTCACAGTCCGGTCTTGCTGGGCTTTTTGGTGTTTGCAGCTTTTAAACCCTCTGTTGGTTTGCACCTGCCTGTGGCTCTTTTAAAGCACAGGAGTGGAGGGAACGGGGTTGGGAAACACCCACTGGAGTTTGTGCAGGAACACAGCAGTGGGATATGGGAAATAGATGAACACTGAAATATGTGGGAGAGCAAGGAAACAGCCATGAGGGATATGGCATCTAACTTATTGGGAGAATTATCTTTAAAACAACAGCAACATCCATTTTAAAGACCTCCATTGTGTTTAACGGCCTGGGGTTTATTCCTCGAACTCCTTCCCTGGCTTTAATCCCGATCCTAACTGCACGCCTGCTCCAGCCGCTTTGGGGCTGCTGCCCGTGCTGTGCCGGGAGAGCTGGCTGTGGGCCATTCACTGTCGCTGCTATGCCGGGAGAGCTGGCCTGCACCGGTCCAGCCAGGAGCAACCTGGGGGGGGCCCGAGGCCCTGGGACGGGGCGGGGGATGTGGCTTGGCCAGGGGAATTGGCTCTTCAGAAGAAATCCATCAAGCGCTTGCCCCAAGCTCAGATTCATCTCAAACAAAATTCAAAGCCCCCCAGGCTCCCCCCGGCCCCGGCCCCAGAGCTGGCAGGTATGCTTGCCAGAGGGGTGTGTGCAGGAGCAGCCCAGGGTGCTCCAGGAAATACCCGGAGCAGCTCAGGCAGGGGACAGTGCTCTGCTGCTCACTGGTTTGCTCTCCAGAGCCACCCACCGAGCCACGCTGCGGGGCTTAGCACAGACTTCGTGTTGCAGACACCTCCCACGTCCTCCCCTGACCCACGGGGATGCTGTCGCGGGGATGCCGGCTGAGTAGGTAGAGCCGACCGAGACGCGGCTCCCTCAGCCTCTGTCCCCCTGCAGCTGCCCCCGAGATCCCAGCGCAGTGTCAAAGTCAGGTTTGCAGCGGCAGGATTGTGCACCTCTCCGACGCAGATCCCTGGCCCGCTGGCAGGGTCTGCTGGGTCATGGACCCATAAATCCCTTCCAGGGGAGATGCAGAGCACCCAGCCGCTCTGCATGGCTCTCCACTTACAAGGCAGGGTATTTACTAGCCCCCCCTGAAAAGATGAAAAGGAAACCTGCTACTTTTAACAGGGTTTTTCATACGGTTTCTTCATCAGCACCATGTGTGCTGGGAGTCTCCCCTCGCCCAGGCGTTTTTTAAGAGCGAGGGATGCTGTGGGGCACTGGTGAGAACCGCTGCTCCCTGTGAAGCCAGGAATG